ATAATTTCAAATTCTGAGTATAATAATTAAAATTTGTATTGAAACAAACGATAGTTTCCATATTGACATGCAGTCTGATATTATAGGCTGACATATATACCCCGTTGTTGCGCGTCATAGGACAGCTCCGAGCATTGTTAATCATATAGTTATCATTAATTCATATCGGTACAAACTGATGATTATTCGTATTGAACTACACTACAATATTTTCAACCAACACAAATTCTCCTGGAGATGATTGATTTATATGCTAGACCTTTATTCAAAGATAACTGGAAATGAAAAGTTTCATTATTATCAGAGAAGTATGGATATAAATCGGACGTTGATGGTTATGCTTCTGATTTCATCGCTTACGAATTTTTTTTGCGCCATTTGATAACCAGAGATTTTAAGCTGCAAGTTGGGATCGCAGAAATTGAAAGTCGACCAAGATTGTTCCATCAACGACTCTGTTCGTGTTAAATTTTGCAAATTTGACAGGACAAGACAGACAGGACAAAGATACTCAACTTATAAAGATGATGATACCTCTAAAAGTTTTATCAGGAAAATGCACTGCTGCTCAAAGTGCTATGACGACCAATACTTGTGCGCTATACATAAACATGGCACCGAACTGGAGTAAGGACTAAGGACTCCATTGGAAGAAGAACTCTTTTACAAGCAATCCAGTGGCGGTTAAAAGTGTACTGTTCGCCTTGACGGGAACTGATGTAAAGCGCAACTGCAGCGATGAAAAGACGGTTGCGCTTCACCTTTGTGATTTTCCGGATATGTTGGTACAACTTAAAGTAAATAACAACAATGGTCTTTATAATTCTGTGGTTTTACCAACAAGAGTCAGAGTACAATGGTTTTATAGGCGTTTATCTTTTAATCATTCTAAGGTAAGAATGGAGAAAAACCACCAGAGAACCTTCAATGCTTCAACGATAATTGTGGAAATGTGTGTTGCTGTCAATTGCGTGCTGTTGATCAACAAAAAGCTCAAAAGGCCTGGTACCGTATTAATTCTAATTCGCTTCTTCGCCATTTTGAAAGAAAACACAGATCGGCCACGCTGTACCTTCCTCTTTGAAAATGGTAAGCCATATCCGGATGAAATGAAGTTTGAATCAATCTAACCTTTTTATTTGGCAATGTTGGAGTTATAAATTTGCAAAAAAATAGGTGGTTTASGTACTGAATGTCTGTAAAAGCGACATGTTCTACAACAAAAATACTGGCATTCCCTGCACCGTTTCACGTTGAAAAAGCTGCATTAMGTTCTTGCTTAAAGCTGGAGTTTATTTGATGCATTTGTCCTTTCAATTCTACACATTTATATTCTGTACAATTATCTAACTTACGTTGGGCTTGACATGAAAGAAACAGGTTGGGTAAAATAGAGATGGTGAATTGCACGGCAGCTTTTCCATGCAATTTTCTCATATTTTCTCGATATTTTTGGAATTCTATAAGGAAAATAGATGCATTCGCACTTCTCCCAGGAATATTCCRGTTGAAAATTGTGAAATGGTAAGTTTATGTCACTGGCATACAGTTTAGGGTATACGTCAACCCCATTAATCGTAAAGAAGGTGTAGACACTGAATCAGAAAGTCTCTAATTGCATTAAYTTATTTGCAAGGATATTCAATATAAAGTTCCAAACCTTCTTTACAATTATTGCTATTTATCTAAAGTTTAGAATTACAATTTTTCCTGGGAACTTTAAAACCTTTTTACTGCAAATGACCTTGTTCAGTGCTGTCTTTACGAGCCATGGAATTTACTGTTCAGTATATAACCAGAAGGAAGATGATTTATTTGATAGCATTTGGCAACTYTTAGTACTGACTTTAGGTTGTTTTGGTTGATTTACAGGGTTCTAGCTGCATTTTTTGCTTAAGGCATTCGATTATTACTCGCTTTATAAATGTAAGTTGTAATGTCTTCTTTCGCTAATATGATAAAAACACAACAACAAAATCTATATTAATCTGTATTTACTGATTAAGGGACGAAACCTCAATACGGACTCTTCGMAAATGAGGTCTTCGGGACACACCAGAGCATATAATAATGTAAGTCATTGTTTTYATAGTGATGCCTTCAAAGTACTTRTGATWAAAAACTMCCCTTGTGCTCATCTCTTCACTTTCAGATATCTAGTGTCTTTCCAAAAGTGGCTGCTGAAAGATGGTGTGAATGTGTAAGTTGATATTCACCATTTATGGGACGGGCRSGAACATCTTTTGCATCGCTACTTTCAAAATTTCATTTGATCTCTTTATCTTTAACAGGAAWACTGTAGCYCATTCATCTGGACATGTTTACCAGAAGACCTAGACTAATTGCTATCACTACCATTGTTGCAACACAACACTGTTATRCACAATGTTAGATATATATCCAGAAGTGGGTTATATATTTTAATATTTAGAAGTTTAAAMAAATAATGTTTCAACATATGATTATCGCACAGTGCATAATATATTGCAATAAGGGAAAATTGTAACATAGTTGATGAGAAACTGAATATCAATCAAGAGGGAGAATCCCATTGTATTATTTTGTTGTAAGAAAATAACATTAATATATTTTAATTGAACGTGGTAAATAAAAAAAGTTAAAGAATTCAATGAACGCATTTGTGACTATCCAGTTTGAGAGACTTAGCAAAAGCCAACGACCATTGATAAGTTATAACTGGCAGAAAAGAGCCGTCCATCAGTCCTAGCTTTGACAAGCAACATTTGAGAAGCATGCCTAACAAGCATGGTTTTACTAATTAGTTGGTGTGTCTGAGACAACAAAATTGCCAAGGTTGATTTTTCCTGGAATGCTATTCTATACTCTATCTCACTGACYATGTACAACAACTCCTCTACAAATTATATATCCATGAGGACATAGACACACGAAATCACTTCAAGTCTGCATTGAAGTAAAGTGACAGTTGCTGATGTCCCGACGCCAAACACGAACTTAGTAAGACGTTTACAATGGAGTGCAGTTCAAGTACTTATACCCAAAATCTGCCTTGTGGAATGTTATGTGGTCCTGTAAGATAGAGCTGTAAATCTAGCTTAAGTATGATGTTGATCACAGTTGGAAATAACAGAATAAAACTAATTAGAGCTTGAGCTAGTACATACAGTTTCATCAAAAGTGCTTGTCAGTCCTGATATCAATAACTCTTGGTCAAAGTGACCATTCAAATTGTTACCCTCCAGTTAGATCAGTACCAACTGAATTCTATGTAATAACAACCACTGTATCAAAATCAGTGCAATTCTGTACAATTAAGATTTGTATAGTCACTGTTATCCAGCTTTTTACATTAACTAGTATTAACAAGCAGTGGACTTTGACATCTGATAAATAGCTATAGTACTTCTGTAACGTTTAGATTCTATAACTTTGTATTTTGACCAAGTTTTCACCAATGGTGTACTGCCTCGGTTCGATTTTGTTCAGTGAAATGCAGGATACTGACATCGATCACTTAATTTGAAAGATTGGCGGTTGTAATTGCAATCCTGCATTGTAGGTAGCAATCTTTACCTCAGGATTGTTATTCTGCAGAGCAATCCAGGTAGAGATGTAAGAAATGTTTTTAGAAAATTTTGTTAGTCCTTTTACCTCAGATATCCGATGTCAGAACTGATGATGTTCAGGTATTTTGATTGATATGGATAGAGCGGATTTCGTATGAGTGGGAAACGGACGGTACTGTACTGTGTC